TTTGATTGTTTGTAAAATATACCTCATTAAAACTGATATTTAAGAGAATTAAAAAAGCAAGCAAATGAAAATTCACATATTGAGCTCTTATCAATTCATTAAAAAAAAAAAAAACAGTTAATGCAGCCAGACACAGCGGCTCATGCCTGTAATCGCAGCACTTTGGGAGGTTGAGGCAGGCAAATCACCTGAAGTCAGGAGGTCAAGACCAGCCTGGCCAACATGATGAAACCCCATCTCTACTAAAAATATAAACATTAGCTAGGGATGGTGGCAGATGCCTGTAATTCCAGCTATTTGGGAGGCTGATGTGGGAGAACTGCTTGAACCCAGGAGGCTGAGGTGGGAGTGAGCCAAGACCACTCCATTGCACTCCAGCCTGGGCAACAAGAGCGAAACTCCATGTCAAAGAAAAAAAAAAAGAGTTAATGCAAAAATGACAAAATGGATAAAGGATGCAGGAAGGGTAAACCACAAAATAAGAAGTATCAAAAAGCTTAAACTCTCTATTAATGGTGAAATATTAAAAGCTTTCACTGAAACTGGAAATGAGAAAAGGATATTCACTGACATCACTTCTATTTAATATTGTACTGGATGTCCCAGATAACACAATCAGGTAAGAAAAACGTTTTAAGGCTGGGCTTGGTGGCTTTCGCCTGTAGTACCAGCACTTTGGGAGGCCGAGGCAGGCAGACCATGAGGTCAGGAGATGGAGACCATCCTGGCCAACATGGTGAAACCCTGTCTCCACTAATAATACCAAAATTAACTGGGCATGGTGGCGCACGCCTATAGTCCCAGCCACTTGAAAGGCTGAGACAGGATAATTGACTGAACCCAGGAGGTGGAGGTTGCAGTGAGCCGAGATCAGGCTACTGCACTCCAGACTCCAGCCTGGTGACAGAGCAAGATTCTGTCTATAAAAAAAAAAAAAAATAGAAAAAAGTTTCAAAGGCATACATATTAGGAAATGAGAAATAATGCCATCATTTGCAGGTGAGATGACTGTACACACAGAAAATTCAAAACAATCTATTAGAAGTAATTATTAGAATAATCTATTAGAAGTAATTATTAGAACAATCTATTAGAACTAATTAGTAAGTTCCTTGGATATAAAATTAACATATAGAAATCAGGTGTAATATGCATATAAGTCATTTGGTAAGTGTGAATCAAAACTACGATGAGATACAATGCTATACTCACTAGGATGGCTATAATTAAAAAGAGAGATAACAACAGGTATTGGTGAGAAAATGGGGAGACTGAAACCCTCATATACTGTTGGTAGGAATGTAAAACAACAGCTGTGGAAAATGGCTGGCAGTAACTCAAAAACTTAAAAATAGAGTTCCCACATGACCCAGCAGTTCCACTCCCAGGAGTGCCTAAGAAGAATGAAAACAAACATCCCTACTAAGAGTTGTATATGAATGTTCATAAGCAGCTTTATCTGTGATAGACAAAAAGTGGAAAGAAGCCAAATGTCCAACAACTGATGAATGGATTTTAAAAATGTGACATATCCATATACGTGAATGTATTATTCAGCAGTAAAAATGAAGTAGTGATACATGATACAACGTGATGAACCTTAAAAATAAGATGCTAAACAAGTGAAGTTGGTCATAAAAGACCACAACATTGTATGATTCTTTTCATAAAAAATGTCCAGAAAAGGCAAATCTAGAGACAGAAAGTAGATTGGTAACCGGTTACTTAGAACTGGGGGGAAGGGAAGTGTGGAATCACTGCTAAGGCACAGGAGTTTTCTTTAGGTGGGACAATCAGGCTGTAGTGATCATTGCATAACTCTGTGAATAAACTAAGAAAAAGTGAGTTATATACTTTAAAATGGCAAATTATATGGTATGGCAATTGCATCTCAATAAATCTGATTTTTAAATTTTCTGCAATATTTTACATTTATAACAAATAATTAAAATTACTAATTTAATTTACTGTATAATGAAATTTAGACATAATGAAACTAAATTAGAATATAAATAAATTACCACAGCAAGACTGCAGATGTAGGGCTCCAACCCTAACATTAACAATCACTAATCTGTCTATAAGGCTTCTGGCGAATTTTTCTTTAAACATGATATAATAAATACCAATACCACTTTAAAAAATCTATTAATTGTATATCTATACACCAGAAACTAGTAAAAATAAAATTTAAAGATACATACAATAGTATCATAAAACATCAAAAAATAGAAATAAATTCAATGAATCATGGGAAAGACCCATACATTAACTATCTTATTTCAATAATGTTTTGTAAAGAAGATCTAATAAACAAAGGCATGTATCATTTTCCTGGGATGGAAGCCTCAATATTGTACAGATGTCTATTATCCCCAATGACATTTGATAATCTATTCAATGCAGTTCTGTCAATATCCTAGCAAGTCTCAGCAATGATGTATGACAATTAAGAAAAAAATACCCTAGCAAGGTTTTCTTTTCTATATAGAAATTCACATGAAAATGACATGGAGCAAAAATAACCATTGTAATCTTGAAGAAAAACAACTAAGCTGAAGAACTTTAACAGATATCAACACCTATTATAACATGAAAAAAATTAAAACAGCGAAATAATGGCAAAGAACAGAAAAATAGACTGATAGAACAGAACAGAGGGTTCTTAACAGACTTAAAAGCATATTGTCATCTGACTTATGAGAAAAGCAAAACTGCAATGCAATGGAGAAGGGATGATCTTTGATGAATAGTGCTGGGTCAGCTATTAATATGAAAAAAATAATCTTAACTATTACATCACATACAAAGAATAATTTCAGATGAATTATAGATATAAATGTAAGAAGTAAAATACTAAAGCATTTCAAAGAACACATAGAAGAACACCTATAAAATCTTAAAATAGGTAAATATTTCTGCAAATAGACACAAAAAGCCTCATATATGAAAGACTGATAAAATGGAACTTCTGTTCATTTAAAGGTATCATTAAAGAGTGAACAAGCAAGCCACAGAATGGGAGAATAGATTTTTAAGCATATGCCAAATAAAGAATCCATATCCATAACATACAAAGAAATCTTACAAAAAAACCAGTCAAACCAAACTTTTTTTAATGGACAAAAGAATTCAACAGGTGTATCACCAAAGAGTGTATCTCAGTCAGCAAGAAACATATGAAATGTTTATAACATTTATAACATATGAAAGACTAACTTCATTAGTCTTCAGGAAAATAAAAATTGAAACTGCAAGAGAATATTACAACATATCCAACAGAAAGGCTAAAATGAAAAATACAAATTACCAAATGTAATAAACACAAAATATACAAGAAGTATAAATTCCTGACAAGGATGTAGGAAGGAGCAATACTGGATGGAGGGGAGGTAAGCGGGCACAATCATATTGGAAAAGCTGAAGATATGCACCTTCTCTGACTGTAATTCTACTCCTCAGTTTCTACCCAACTGAAACACCTAAAAAATTTTTATTAAGAAACATATAAAAGTTCTGCATTAAGAAATCTGGAAGGTTCAGGAAGCATTAACTATAATGGTCCCAAAATGAAAATTACTGAAACCAAGAGCAAGAGTAGATAAATAAATTCACACTCATATAATGGAATACTATTTGGCATTAAGCATGAACAAACTATAACTACATGAAGGTAAGAATGACTCTACAAACATAATGTTGAAAAAAGCCAGCATATGTACATATATGATTCTATTTCTATAAAGTTCAGAATTAGGCAAAACCAATCTGGTTTGAGCCAAGGCAGTGGCTAGTCTGGATGGAGACGTGGTAAATGGAAGGAGGCATGAAAAGGCTTCCCAGGTTTTGGGGTCCTGCTTCTCGACTGAGGATCTGCTCAGATGAGTGCGTCCGCTTTGGGAAAATTCAAGCTGTATGTATACAACTTCTCCATAACTTACCAAGGGGTTACATCAGGTTAAACCCGTGGGGTTACAACCTGATAAACTTATTATGACAAACCCATAAAGTTGAAAATATCATAAGTTGAAATGTATTTAATAGACCTAACCTACTGATCATGAAACCTTAGCCTAGCCTACCTTTAAGGTGTCGGAATACTTAACATTAGCTTCCAGTTGGACAAAATCATCTAACACAAAGCCTATTTTATAACACAGCATTGAATACTGTACACAGATGAACATTTTGTAGACTTGATGGGATGTGAAAACATAAAACACAATATCCAAAAAACACTGGCAACAGAGTACATTGTAGAGTACCGGTTTTTTACCCTCATGATCATGTGGCTGACTGGAAGCTGCAGCTCACTGCCGCTGGCTAGTAAAGCAAGAAAATATCAAACCACATATTGCTAACCTGGAAAAATAGCAAAATTCAAAGCATGGTTTCTACTAAACGCATATCACTTTTGCACATTGTAAAGCTGAAAAATCATCAAGTCAAGCTGTTCTAAGTCCAGGACCATTTGAACAGATTTGTACACACCCGTCTGTATGAACTAACTTCATAATACTTGCAAAAATACTTTAAAAATCAGAGAAAATTCTATCACCATACAATCATGCACTGCATAATGACGTTTCAGTCAACAACAAACCACATATATGATGGTGGTCCCATAAGATTGTAATATCGTATTTTTATTCCATGCTTAGATATATTTAGATTCATAAATACTCACCATTGTGTTACAGTTGCCTACAGTATTCAGTATGGTAACATGCTGTACAAGTTTGTAGCCTAAGAGCCATAGGCTATGCCATATAGCCTAGGTATGTAGTAGGCTATACCATCTGGGCTTGTGTAAGCATACTCTATGATGGTAGCTCAACAAGAAAATCACCAAAGGATGCATTTTCAGAATATATCCCTGCCATTAAGTGATGTGTGGCTGCATTTACACACACACAAATGACTCTTTGAGCTTGTGAAGAAGAAGAAAGGAAAACTACTGAATGCGGAAGTTAGCGTGTTTGTATGGTATTTCTACTCACCTTTGTCCTGTAATGCAATTTGCTGCTTATGCAGTAATGCCACCTCCCGTCCCAAAGCTTTCTTCTGCCGTTCCAGTTCATTTTGAAGCACCAAAATTTTTAACTGGAGGCATTCACTTTTTTTTTTCTAAATAAATAAAATCACAGGTATATTTATGAATATAAATGTCATGACTATGAATAATTATACACTCAATGTTTAAAAATAAATAATGATTTAAAGCACTTTAATACTCATCAAACTTATGGAACTCTTGAGTGACTTAATTATCAGCACCATCCTTTTAATCAAAATCATAAAGATATAAACAAAGAACAAAAGTAAATCTTAAGTCTGGGGACCCAACAGACACTACACAAAGTATCTCAGGTCCCTCCCCTGATACCACAATACAATAAGATTTTTAAAACTTAATAATAAATAAATGAAGTTCTCAAAAAGTTAAATACAGAGGTACCATAAGACCCAGCAATTCCACTTCTAGGTATATACTAAGAGAGCTGAGCACATGTCCACACTTAAACCTAAACACAAATGTTCACAGCAGCATTACTCATAAAAGTTAAAAAACATAAACAGCCCACATGTCCACCAACTGATGAAAGGATAAATAAAATGTGGCCTATCCATACAATCAAATATTATTTTGTAATAAAAGGAAATTAAGTACTGACAAATGCTACAACATAGATGAACCTTAAAAACATTATGCTAAGTTAAAGACTCCAGTTTTAAAAGGCCACACACTATATGGCTCCACTTACAAGAGATGTCCAGAATAGACAATCCATACAAACAAAAAGTAGATTTTCACGTTTGCCAAACCCAACCAAGGTGCTCTAACCCCCTACCTGTTTCAAAGAAGGCCAAGCAGAGGCCTGAGGTTTTCAACCCTGCTAGGCAGTAACCAACCGAGACCCATGTGGTATCTACTAACATCACATGGGGATCCTGGATTTTTACCACCCACCTGTCTGTAATGGGATAACCCTCTCCCATCCTCAATGGGGTAGTATTAAAGAAGGCCTAGTGGAGAGTCACTTTCACTACCACCCAGTGCTAATGCAGCCACCCTCCTTTCTGTGATACCAGTGGAAGACATTTGGGGGAGAAGTAACAAGACACTCCGACTCCTCCCAGCTAAGAAGGTAGCATTGGAGACCTACTGGGGAGCCATCCTTGTCAGCATTAATTAAGGGAAGGGGAGCTTTTTCCCCTGCCACTAAGGGGTCAATGGAAGCTGCATAGGGAATCTGGACTTCTATACTCAATGAAAAATCAATAAAACCACAACTGGTTATTGGAAACGTAAATAAAATTCATAAAACTCTAGCTAGGGCTGGGCACAGTAGCTCAGACTTGTAATTCCAGCACTTTGGGAGGCTGAGGCAGGTGGATTATCTGAGGTCAGGAGTTCAAGACCAGCCTGGTCAACATGGTAAAATCCCACCTCTACTAAAAATACAAAAATTAGCCAGGCATGGTGGTAGACAGCTGTTATCGCAGCTACTTGGGAGGCTGAGGCAGGAGAATCCTTTGAACCTGGGAGGTAGAGGTTGCAGTGAGTCGAGATAATGCCATTGCACTCTACCATTCCACCCTAGACAACAAGAGTGAAACTCCATTTAAAAAACAAAAACCAAAAAATAACTCTGGCCAGACTATTCAAGGAAAAATGAGAAAAGGCAAAAATTACTAATATGAAGAAAGAGGGGTTATCACAATTGATCTCACAAACATCAGAAGAATAAAGAATACTACAAACAACTCTATCCTCAGAAGTTTGATAATTTAGATGATATGAACCAATTCTTTGAAAGACAGTCTACCAAAACTCATAGTAGGAGAAAGAGATAATAAAGAAATTAGGCTGGACATGGTTATAATCTCAGCACTTTGGGAAGCCCAGGTGAGAGGATTGCTTGAGCCCAGAAGCTACAGACCAGTCTGGGCAACACAGTGAGACCCCGTCCATAAAAATAAAAAATAACAAAATTGGCTGGATGCAGTGGCATACACCTGTAGCCCTAGCTACTCAGGAGGCTGAGGTGAAAGAATCACTTGCGCTCACAAGTTCAAGGCTAGAGTGAGCTATGATCATGCCACTGTACTCAGCCTGGGCAAGAGAGCAAGACCCTGTCACAGAAAAACGAAAGAGAGAGAAATTAAATCAACAACCTTCCAAAAAAGAAAAAAAGAAAAAAAAAAAAAAGGTCTAGTTGGTTTCACAGTGAATTCTACCAAATATTTAAATAAGAAACAATACCAGTTCTTCAGAATCTCTTCCAGAAATCAGAAGTAGATGAATGCTTGCTAACTCATTCTATGAAGCCAGTATCACCCTAACACCAAAATCAGACAAAAACACTATAAAATATTAGCAAATTAAACCCAACAATGTGTAAGAGTAATTAAACAACATGGCCACGTGGAATTTATCCCAGATAGGCAAGGTTGGTTCAATATTCAAAGAATAATTAATGTAATTCATCACATCAACAGGCTAAGGAAGAAAAACGTGATATGATCACACATATTGGTAGATGCAGATAAAGCATGTGACAAAATCCAACGACGATTCATGATAAAAACTTTCAGCTAAATAGAAAATGAGGGGGACTTCCTTAACTGGTAAAGAACATCTACCAAATAACCTACAGCTAACAACATACATAATAGTAAGAAACTAGATGCTTACACCCTAATTCTGAGAACAAGACAAGGATGTCCACTTTGACTCCTATTCAACATAGTTATACTTTATAAGTCCTAGCTAATGAAATAAGACAAGAAAAAGAAAGAAAAGCTACACAGATTGGGAAAGAAGAAATAAAATTTTCTTTATCTGCAGATAATATTACTGTCTATATAGAAAATCCCAAAGAATTGACAAACAAAACAAAACAAAACAAAAACCATCCTGGAAAAAGCAATTATAGCAAGATTGCAGGATAGAGAATTAATATGTATGAAAAGATGTCTTCCTGTGTAACAGCAATGAACAAGTGGAATCCAATTATCCATCAAATTATTTTGTTAATATAAAAACTGATTCTAAAGTTTATATAAAGGCAAAAGAATACACAATACAATATTGAAGAAGAAGAACAAAGCTGGAAGACTGACAGTAGCCAATGTCAAGAATTACCATAAGTTACAGTAATCAAGACAGGGTGGTATGGGTAAAAGAACAAACAGATCAATCAAATGGAACAGAGAGCCCAGAAATATACCCAAGTCAGAGAATCTTTGACAAAGAAACAAAAGCAATTCAATGCAGAAAGGATAGTCTTTTCACCAAATGATGACGCCACTAGACAGCCACATGCAAAAAAAGAAAGGACAGAAGAAACAGAGAGAGGAGGAGGAGGGAGTAATCAATCTAGATGCAGACCTTACACCCTTCACAAAAAATTAACTCAAAACGGCTCACAGATCTAAATATGAAATTAAAAATTATACTTCTAGAAGATAACATAGGAGAAAGTACAGAAGACTCTGGGTTTGGGGATAACTTTTTAGACACAACACCAAAAGCAAGATCTGTGAAAAAAGAAATTGGTATCTTGGAAATTATTAAGATCTGCAAAAGACACCGTTTTAAGAGTAAAGACAAGCCACAGATTGGGAGAAATTCTATACAAAAAAACATATCTGATAAAGAACTGCTATCTAAAATACACAAAGAACTCTCATTAAAAAAAATATACACGGGGTCTCACTATGTTGCCCGTGCTGGTCTCGAACTCCTGAGCTCAAGGAACCCTCCCACGTCAGCCTCCCAAAGTGCTGGGAATTACAGGCATGACCCACTATACCTGGCCTCAAAGAACTCTTAAAATTCGACAATAAGAAAATAAACAACCCTGGCAGGGCACAGTGGCTCACGCCTGTAATCCCACAAAGTTGGGAGGCCGACGAAGGCAGATTACCTGAGGTCAGGAGTTCGAGACCAGCCTGGCCAACATGGCGAAACCCTATCTCTACCAAAAATACAAAAAAATGCAACAAAGAACTGAAGAAGCATCTCATCAATGGAAGTTAAAACAACAATGTGATATGACTATATACCCATTAGAATAAAATCCAAAACTCTGATGCCACCAAATATTGGCAAAGATATGGAACAACACAAACTGTCATTCACTGAAGATGGGAATGCAAAATGGTACAGCCACTTTGACAGATAGTCTGGCAGTTTCTTACAAAGTTAAAATAGGTTTACTATACAATCTAGCAATCGTACTCTTATATATTAACCTGGATATTGAAAACTTATGTTTACATAAAAACCTACATACAAATGTCTGTAACAACTTTATTCATAATTGCCAAAACTTGGAAGCAACCAAGATATACTTCAACGGATAAACTGTGGTACATATACAATGGAGTATTATTCAGTGATAAAAAGAAATAATCAGCCCATCATAAGAGAAATTGTAAATGCATATTGCTAAATGAAAGAAGTCAGTCTGAAAAAGCTACATACTGTATGATTCCTACTGTATCAAATTCTGGAAAAGGTAAAATTATAGAGACAGTAAAAAGATCAGTTCCCAGGGGAGGGAGAAAAGGATGAACATATGGAGCTTTGGATATTTTTAGGGCAGTGAAACTATTCTGTTTTATACTGTAATGGTGGAAACATAATACATTTGTCAAAACTCACAGAACAGTATAACATAAAGAGCAAACCCTAATGCAAACTATGGACTTTAGTTAATAATAATGCATTAATATTAATTAGTCAATATAACATATGTGCCACACTAGTACAAGATGTTATAACAGAAGAAATCGGGTATGGGGTGGGGCATATAGGAACTCTGTACTTTCTGCCTACTTTTTCTATAAATCTAAAACTACCTTGAAAAATAAAGTTTATTTTTTAAAAGTCATATTAAATATCAATTTTATTGAATACACGTTTAATTAAACAAAATCCCTGACCCGTTCTACCAGACAAAGACACAATTAAATTTGTTGTTTAACTTACGTTTCCATATAAATATTACATCAAACCATTGCTTAAGCTTTACTCAGCCTCTTTTTTTCTCTAAAAAGCCTGCCTTAACTTACTTCCAGATACAAATCCAAAATTCTGTCCCCAAAATGAGTATGTA